TTTCTTTCTTTCTTTCTTTCTTTCTTTCTTTCTTTCTTTCTTTCTTTCTTTCTTTCTTTCTTTCTTTCTTTCTCTCTCCCTCTCTCTTTCTTTCTTTCTTTCTTTCTTTCTTTCTTTCTTTCTTTCTTTCTTTCTTTCTTTCTTTTTTCTAACATACACAGTATTCTGTCTGCAAGTACACCTGCACATCAGAAGAGGGAACTGATGGTTGCAAGCCACTATGTGGTGGGTAGGAATTGAACTCAGGACCTCTAGAGGTTCTAGAAGCACACCTAGCACTCTTAACCTCTGAGCTATCTCGCCAGCTCTCTGTTTCATCTCTTATGTCTATATTTATCTATATTTAAAAATTGTGTATTAATTGAGTCTAAACTATAAGTCACCTCCCTGTTCCCAGGCTTAGTAGAGTACCAGGCACATATATGCCTTCAAATATAAGTGTTTGAATGAACTACTTTTGACAATACAGGTACTCCAGGACAGGGCCAGCCAAACTTTCTTTGTAGAAGACCAAAGAATAGATATTTTCACCTTCCAGATCACATGACTTTTGCTAGTGATGAGTTGTGTCACGGCATGAGAAAATCAGCTTAAATTAACATTTCAACAAGAGGCCTGGCTATGTTCCCACAATATTCATAACTGCAGAAGGCAAGCTGCAGACAGCATATGATCTAAGATCAGCCTACCCTTCCTCTAATGAAGCACCTAACCCAGCTGTAATTTGAAAACAACTAAGTTTCTTCTTTGAAATCAGAAACATTTCACTGACTGAAGAACAGTATAATGAATGATCTATATAGAAAAGTACCAAAAAATGCATCCTTTATGAGGTATAACAAAGCAAAGTCTAAATGATGTTTATAAAATCAGTCATTTTCAAAATGTTGCTAGTAACACGAAAATCACTGTGACAGTCTTAATTATCGATGACACAATATGGAATCACTTCAGAAAAGGGAGTGCCACTATAGGATTGTCTGGATCAGGTCAGCTTGTGGGTGTATTCACAAGGGATTCTCTCGATCACATATACTGAGGTTGGAGGACCCATCTATCCTGTGTGGCACCATCATCTAGGCAGAGGACTGTGGACTGTGAGAGTGGAGAAGAGTGCTACCAGGTCAGGCAGCATTCAATAGCATCTCCCTGCCCTGCACCAGCCTCTTTCAGTTCCTCCCACCTTTACTTCGCTGCAGTGACCAGAACCTGGAAATCTGACCCAAATCAACCCTCTCTCCCTTAAGTTGCTTTTGTCAGGTTATTTATCAGAGCAAAAAGAAACCGAAGATAATAATGATATGTAAGTTTAGAGCTTAACAAAACTTTTGTCTTTAGTAATCATAGACAAACTTACAGGATCCTTAAGGATGCTAGGCCTTGAAAAGTATTTTCCTTTATTATATAGATTTGATTACGCTGCAATGAACTAAAAAAAAAAGATGAGAGAAGAGGGACAGGGGGTAGAGAGAGATTAATAAACAAGGAAAAAAGGAAAAATTATATTTTGAAAAATAATGTTCTGTTAAGTTTTTTCTAAATTTAAATATTTATATATAATACTGATCTTTTTGAAAGTAAAAACTGTAATTTCTTTAGTTGTAAAATGAAAACATTAGAATAATTGATATTCCATCTCAAACTGAGAGTTAACTGGTACCCTATCTATATTCCCACCAGTCTTACTGAGATATGAGCGGAAAAAGGTGACACAGTGAGAAAAGGCATTAAAAAGTAGCATAGGAAGGAGGGGGGAGGAGCACAGGAAGAAGAGGAGGAAGAGGAAGAAAAGGAGGGGAAGAGAAGAGGAGGAACATAAGAGAGGATATAGGAAGAAAAAGAGAAAGAGGAGAGGGGAGGAGAAGAAGAAAAAAAAAGAGAAGGAAAGGGAGGGGAGGGGTAGAGAAGACAAGAAGGAGAGAAAGAAAAGAAATGCCCTGACTCTGGCATACTGCATACTCGTATTCAGATCTGTTTTCCTCAGTAGCCAGAACGCATTTTTCTGTTTTCCTATATAACTACCTTTCCCATACAGAAGGCGATAGAATGTCTAATAGATAGAAGCCTAGTGTACCTTTTCTAAGTAGGAAATGAAAATCGTTATACAGTAGAATTAGTTCTATGTCTAGGAAAATACTCTCAAATTATTGACCTTATAGAACTAATGAACCACAAACCAAAAAACCAACCAAACCAACAAAATCTATAACCAAACTTAAACTGTGCTGTTAACAGAAACCTAATGATTGGATTAAATTCATTTCAAGGCACATTTCCCAGGTCACCGAAAAACTTCACATGGTTACAAATCATGAAAGAAATGCTCACTGCACTAACGCATCAGACACAAGGGCATTTTATTCACAGGAACTCTAACTACATGAACTTCTGATTTCTTGCAACAATTCATTATAGGAAACGACCAGTGAACTAACAGTATACTACAGCAAAGTAGAGTAAGCCAAAAGCCAACTTACATTTCTTCCAAAGCATGACAACCATTGAAACTTGGAAGGTCTCTTATATTGTTGTAAGATAAGTCCCTAAAAACAACAGAACAAGTTAATGCCATTATTAAAATATTCTATTAAAAGTGCTGTGTCTGGAAGCATTGAAAGCAGCACTAAGGTCTTACGAAAAGGAGAGCTGAGCAAGCTTTGGTTTCCCTGATATTGTAGGCCTATACTACAGACTTGAGATTTATAAACTTAGAGTACACAATGTTGAGTATAGACAATATAAAATATGCTAAAATATAATAAGTTCTGCAACATATATATAAAATATAATAAGATGCGTGAAGACTGTATTGAGTAGTAAACCTACAGATTTTTAGAAAATTTTATTTTTCCAATACATCTGGAAATACATGTATGTCATACATTATGCTATTCTTTAATTAAAAGCTTTGCTACATCTTTTTTTAGATCATTTACATAAAATTATGTCAGAGAAGTTAACATTCAATGCCACTGGGCTTGTCCCTCAATCACAGCCATCATATTTAAGTTAAAAGTTCCACTAGAACATGTAATTACTCAGTTAATCTGTCCTTTTTGTTACTACCTTCCAGTCCTTAACAAATCAGTACCTAACTGTTCTGAGGAGTTCTATACTTTTTGTTTGTATGTCAGCTTAAAAATTTTAGAAAGTTACAAGTAGTTCATTCTTGATTCAGGAAAGCAAAGCTTCAGAACCTGCTTAGTTATGAATGAAAGAGAAAAATGGGGGGGGTTTTTGATGTCCATGTGGAAACCAAAATAACAACTAACTGGTCTCTTAGTTTATTTTGCACCAAATAAAGTAACAAAACAATTAACGCATAATACACAATCCTAAAGGCAAGTTCAGAGACTCCCTGCCCTTTGAAGGAGAATCTTCTGATTTATGTGTAAGAAACAAACAAGAAATAATCAAACCTCAAGAGCATAGTTCATCCAAAATAAAAGTGAGCATCTGTAATGCACATAAAAGAAAGGTATAGGCGAAGGAGAGAGTAGCCCAACTTACAGAGTCCTCAGCATCTTTTGGTTTTGGCACAGATCATCAGGTATGCTGCTTATCTTTGTCCCTGTCAAGGTTCTGTGAAAAAAAGAATTACTCATCTAAGAGACAGCTCAAGTTGGGTTAAAAAATGAAAAGTTCCTCTCATATACAAATATGGATAACTGCAGAGTAGTGCATATGGGCCTGTGCAGCCCTCTGCCTAACTACCAACTAACGGTACAAGTGTGGGAAAGTGGACTAATTCTCAACAACATTTCACAGTAGGGAAAAAGAGCTGTGGCACAAGATATTAACAGTGTCCAGGTGATGGCCTTGTTTCCTACAGCCTGTCATCTTTTCTCACACCCAACACATCTGAAAACACCTCAGAACCCTACTGCAAGTTTTGTGTCTGCCCTTTCTTTCTGTCAGCCAGTTTAGAATTCTGAAACATTCCTATTCTCCTCCCTGCTGCTTTTCCCATTTGGAGTCAATCAGCGGTTCCAGTTATTTCTTCTAATAAATCCAGTATCTGACCCTTTCTCCCTTTCTTTTCTGCTATGCAGATCAAGGGTGAAATATTTCAATATCTCAGGAAGCAGTAAAGAGTCTGGTCATGTTCTTTGTCCCAGAAGAGCTCCAAAATGGACCGAAGGCCTGGAGTACAGCTAACGGCTCGGTGTGTCTACTAGTCCCTGGCTTTCACCATACCCTCACTGTTCTACATCTTCACCTCTTCACTGCACTTTCCTCATAATATATGGTCCAACATTCTCAACTTGCACAAATTACCTGAAGGGCCAAACTGGAACTCTCTTCTCAATGCTTCCCCACTTAATCCCCTACCTTAGCAGATGTGAAAATGTTCACCTTATCTAATACACCATAGTAAGACTCCTACAGATAATGGCCCTGGGCTGCTGTTCCAGCCCAAGCTGGCTAGCTGGAGGGCTGAGAACAAGATTTTGGAAATATCTCTACTCCATTCACAGACCACTTACTAGGAATCTTTCCTATAGCCATATGTGCAGGGGCTCAAGACTTGGTCATTTAAAAATCTTATCCCAAATAATTTTCCAAATGTCTTTATCACACACCCCCATTCTATTATAAAGATGTGATTTTTATCTATATTTGATTTTCTGTATGACATCTTGGTATATTTTTGGTATTCCTAGTCTTATTAAATCTTTCCTTTCTAAGTTGAAGTTTCAATTCTGAGAAATTTGACATTTTTTTCAGTGTGGAAATAATGTATCTCCCTCCATGAAGGCTTTGCTGATGATCTACATGATTTGGTCCTGTTTTTGAATTTCTGAAGTTCTGCTCCTAACTAGCCATTTAACTGCTACCTTCTGGCTCAGTAAGCTTTTCTGATCTGTCTACACTGGGGGCTACACTCTGCCTGAGCTAAATGACCTCAGGCTTAATACGCTCATCTCCAAGCCTGATGGTCAAAAAAGGACTTTGAAAGAATGATCACAAGTCCGTCCCCATCACTAAGGAGCACTGGCGCTCTGCCAGCAGACTGGACTGCAGTGTTGTCTTTCCATGACCCTCCTTAAGAGCATCACACATACAGACTCTCCAGATGGACAGTTCCGGTCAGATTGGGGAACCACTGCACCAGGCTTGCACCACGAATGACTCTTTAAAAAAAATTGGGGAGAGAAAAGAAGTTAATTTATAATAAACTGGTATTCTTACATTAATACTTTCAATTTTTTAATCTTAAATTACAACGTTATAACCAAATATAACTGGTTTTATATCTTGAAGGTTCTTGAAAATATGATAATTTGGTCAAGTACTCAGGTAAATAATAACTGTAAATTATTAGTTATCCTTTGGAATGTTTCATAAAGGGCAGGAAAAAAAAAATATATATATATATGAAGATACAATAATATGAATTCTTGTTTTTGACTTAACAAGCTGCATAAATATTCAGGTTTGTTTTTAAACTTGCATAATACTTACAAGGAATGCAGATCAGACAGGTTGTGAAATGCTGAGTTCCCCACAAAAGATAGAGGATTATCATACAAATGGCTGTGAAAATATACAAAAAAGGCAATGTTTTCATATGCTTATTAACACTCTGAGATTTAAGCTATGTTTCCTGTGTCCATACAGTGTTTTTTTTTATTTTTTATTAATTACACTTTATTCATTTTGTATCCCCCCATAAGCCCCTCCCTCCTCCCCTCCTGATCCCACCCTCCCTCCCCTTTCTGCATGCATGCCACTCCCCAAGTCCACTGATAGGGGAGGTTCTCCTCTTCTTTCTGATCTTAGTCTATCAGTTCTCATCAAAAGTGGCTGCATTGTCCTCTACTGTGGCCTGATAAGGCTGCTCCCCACTCAGGGGGAGGTGATCAAAGAGCAGGCCAATCAGATTATGTCAGAGGCAGTCCCTCTTCCCATTACTATGTAACCCACTTGGACACTGAACTGCCATGGGCTACACCTGTGCAGGGGTTCCAGGTCATCTCCACGAATAGTCCTTGGTTGGAGTATGATTTTCTGGGAAGTTCCCTGTGTTCAAATTATCTTGTTCTGTTGCTCTCCTTGTGGAGTTCCCGTCCCCTCCAGCTCTTACTATTTCCCACTTCTTACATAAAATTCCATTCACTCTGCCCATCAGTTGGCCATCAGGCTCAGCATCTGCTTTGACAGTCTATACTGCAGAAGCTTTCAGAGGCCCTCTGTGGCAGGTTTCAAGGTTGTTTCCTGTTTTCTTCTGGCTTTCAGAGGCCCTCCCATACAGTGTTTTTGTTTTGTTTTGTTTTTGGTACAGATGCCTGGCATCTCTAGACATAGCTGCACATGATTATATACTCAAGGAAACTTTCAAGAATACTTACATAGTTCTTAAGAGTGGATTACCACCAAATGCTCCATCAGGGATAACAGAAATAGAATTACTATGAAATCCCCTAGAATGATAGGAGAAAAACACTATAAAACAAGTTAAAACCAGAGTGTCCACTGCTGTTCAGCATTACATAAAACAGAACTGACAATGCTAACATAAACATCTTTAACACTGAGAAATTTGAATTTTGAATTCCATGTCATCTTTTACAGGATTTTACTGCATTCTTTTTAAACCCACTCCCTAGCTTGGCATCTTATTGAACCCTTGCTGCTTCATCATCAAAGATCGCTTGAAGGTTTATGTTGAAATAAGCTCCAAATCTCCATCACAGAAGCCTATATTTTATCTCTGCAATATGAGCTTTCAACTCACACCACAACCTCTGTTGTGCCATATACATTCTTATCTCCTCTGCTCAAGACAAATCCAGCCTCCAGATGCTCCCTCATCCCTTTCACTTAAGTTTTTTCACCCTTTAGGTCTGGTCAAATTCCTTTCTTTTGGTAATGCAGTTTCCAGTCACCCCAGGCTACAGTGAGATCATTTTATAGAATTATTTGTCTTATTTATTCACACCTGATATCTATATGGGACCAGTAATCTGCCTGCCTTTCTAGCAATGCTAAGACTGCAAGCTCCTCCAGGCAGACTGTACCTCATGCATTTTAGTTTCAATAGGATCTAACCTCATACAATAATCTATGCCCACAGCCATTTGTGCCAGCTAATACAGTCTGATTTGTGGACTGACTGTGCAGGTGTGTGTATGTATGTTATGGATACATGTACAAGGAGATGCTCCTAGATCTAATTACTAGAGTATTTAATGGTGTATTCCAGAATGCTCAGGATAAAGAGAAAAGGCTATACTCACAGCTCTTTTAGGCTGGGAAGGGCTTTAATAGCCTGAGGAAATTCATCCAAGTTATTATAATTCAAGTCCCTGGGAAAAAATTGGAGAAAATGTCTAAGCATAGTGAAGAGAAGTCATAATTCGTAAGACATTCTGGTATAAATACATGTTAAAAGATCACGACCTGTAGTTGGGAATTTTTATCTCCCAACTACATTGTCATTCAAAACCCTATAGGAACTTAATTTAATTGACAGACTTTTAGAGAATATTAAATAGAAAAAAGTTATCTGCTACATTTTTAGGTTTATAAATTTACAAGCTCAGAGAACTGTTAGATCACATGTCACTGAAGGATTAAACACACACATCTTGCGTCATTTCTTGGAAATTTACCATCCAGTAGAATTTTTGAATATCCACCTATAGGTGACTACAGTATGAAACAGAGGCTTCCCATGGAGTGGACAGCAGCTCCCTGCATTTCTTGAAAAGAGATGCCAAGGGAAAGACCAGAGTTGTTCTCCTGCAGGTTATGAATTACTGACAATGTTATATTCATTAGGAAGAGATCAAGCCATAGTGGCCTGTAATAAAGCAGGTCTAGTTCTGACAGCATAGAAATTTTAATTTCTCTTAACATAAAGAACATGATGGCATATGGTTATTGTGGCTGTTTCAGAAAGAGAGAGAAAGAAATTAAAAATTACACCTAGCAGAGGAGACTTGAGTTTAGAGCTATCTTCCTCCAATTTTAACTTTCAAATATCCACTGGTGTTTATTATTTAATTATTTTTGACAAGCAGGTTAAAGTCTTATAAGACTTGGGATCTTCTCAACAGTTCACAGTTAACTCCAAATTTTAAAAATATTACAGATCCTAAGTATTCCAATTAGGCTTCAGCCATCCAAAGGAGACACTCTCTGACTTCATTTACTATATCACAACAGCAAAAATCATGTACAGCCCAGGGGACATAGCATCATGCAACATTTTAAAACATTAATCTGTTATATTTTAGCATATGAAAGAAGACATGCTATTCTGACATGATTTAAATGATTAGCTAGGCTACTGAACCAATGGAGAACCATGGAGAACCAATAATAAGTAGCAAATTGTCCCCAACAGAACTGGTTTTGAGAAATGTCAAAGTTCCCAAACAGTCACATTTTAAGAAAATTAACATTTTTAGGAAGGCTTACATTTTTGCAACAGAGCTGCTTTAAATATATATTTGGGGAAAGTGAGGGCTTGAAGTTCACACTTAAGTATCAGTTTTGAATCATAAATTAAAATTATTTTTTACAATTGAGTTATTAGATGGTGAAAATGGAGTTCTTAATTAAAGTGAATTAATAATGACTATATTTAACAATGTGTTCTCTTCATGGGCAATAAGTTTAAGATTGCACTGTCTCAATCACAGTATGATTATAGAAAATATAAATTGTACTTACAAAGTTTCCAGGTTATCTAGTCCATCAAAACAGTGCTGACTGAGGGTTTTAATTTTATTGTTATGAAGATGCCTATGGGGGAGAAAAAGTACCAAAATGACATTCACATCTCCCAAATGCAACTGTTATAGCTGCTTAATACGTCTAAACTGGTATGGCTGAAAGCAATAGATATAAATATTTCCACACTCACAGAAAGCTGGCAGTTATACAGACTAACTGAACACAGAATGCCAACATTAGGGGAAATCTATGTAGAAAACGATGACACAATGACAATTATTTGATTTTGGTTCATACTAAAATTAAACTTTAGATTAGATCCTCTCTCATATGAAGCAGAACATTGGTGAGTTCTCTGAGATTAGAAAGCAGGATTATTATGGAGTTTACCTCACTGAGGATAGAAATATATTCTAAAAGAATTGAGGATACTGTGTCTTACTAAGTTTTGAAAGATGAAAGGTACAGACAATCAAAAGCTTTTTGAGCAAAAAAGTTGAAAAAATACAAAACATTCTTGGAGAAATAGGAAACATCTTATTGCTTTCAGTATTTCAAAAGTTTCCCTTCTTTAACAATGAATAAACTATTTCATTGCTGGGACAGAAAGAAAAGTTATATAAAACAAGCTATAAAAAGGTTTTTGGTGAATGACCCAATTATTTTAAAAAAGTGATATTATATAAGTGGCTACTTATTTTTTAAAGACTCAACATCTATTACTAGATATTATTCAAGAAGTCAGCATGTTTGTTTATATCAAAGGCAACTTCCCCAAATACTGTTTCAAAGCAGGACCACAGGGTCACTTTTATAATAATGTGTCATATGACACCCATTTGCCCCAAAATTAACACAAAAATACAGTACTAAAAGGGTTGGCCACATACAGAACAACCAGGCTTGAAAGGTTGGTGAAGGCAAAGTCCGGGATGCTTGAGATGTTGTTGAGAGCCAAGGTCAGCGCCTGCAGGGTTGGCAGGTTGCTGAGGGGACGCACAGGCACCTCAGACAAGCTGTTGTCATCCAGCCACAGATGCCGTAACTGAACAAGCCCTTCAAAACTGTCCTCGGGGACTGAGGTAATATGGTTGGCATCCAAGCGTCTGAGAAACAGAAACATCCACAGTGAGTAACAGTTCTACTGGAAGGAGTATCCAAAGAACACAGCTCTAGAGCTTCCAAACAGAAGGGAATCACAAACCTGCCAGAGCCATGAAGTTTCTCTCTATTTACAACAAAAAGAAGTCCCAAACAACACCAAATCTAAAACTCTTCCAAGTCTGGTAGTACATTACAGTTCTTTCCTCACTAACTTCATTAAAGAAGGACACACTTAAAAGAAAACTCACAAAGCTCAAGTTGGAAATTTATGTTTCAGAGTATACCTACCAGAGATACAGAAGGTGGGCTGGGGGAATGGCTTAGCAGTTAATGCATGTGCCCACACACATGGAAACACACACACACACACACACAAACAGAAAACAAGAAAAATGAAGCTGAGTAAATAAGCTACTTTACCTCCAATGTTAGTTACAGTATAGCTGGTATTTTATACTGAATTTAACTGCTTCTCTGATTTGATACCAAAGGATAAATAAGAAAATATTTATAGTTTTTTAAATAGCAACAAACCCATTTCAGTAGATTCAAGCTATATTAGCAGATCAGCTAGAACCTGCCATATTAGTATTACAGATTCCTCTCTTATCATTAAATATTCAAGTTTGCCAAAGTTAGGTTCCTAACAAAGGTCAGATTATTCACAGGAAAACTAAACTCCTCCAGTCAATGCTACTATAGTTTTAAAACTTCATCTTTTTTTCTTTCTTTTTTTCTTTTCTTTTTTTTTCAGGAAATTCTGCAATTAGGGGCACCTCATTAGAAGGATTATTTATGTTTAAATCTCCCTCTGAAAACCTGGAAACTAAATCCTAAGTATTTCTTTCTGTTGCCACAACCAAGTATAATTGTTATAATCACTTTTCAATACAAAGACAGCCTGGTGTTAGCAGGATGAGGAAATGTATGAGCCAGGAAATCCCAGTGTTCCTCATAATCTCCTGCTGATGTTTATCACATAAATTCCTGCCTGATAAGCCACATACCTCTCTGAAAACGGGGAAAGATTAAAAAAACAAAACAACAACAACAACAACAACAAAAACAACATAAGACTGATTTAAAAACCCATAATGACTTTTTTTTTTTCTTTTTAAAGAAATGGCAACTGGCAATTTAAAAGTTCGAAAACTTCTGAGTTTTAGAGACATTTCTATGCTTTCTGATTTTGCTTGTTTGAATATCTTGCTCTAACTTTCAACTCCAGGAACCTGCTGGCCTCCCGCTCCCAGATACCTGCTTCCAGGTCACTGACTTCTCCTTTTGGGAGCAGATTATCAAGAGCTAATGACCCGTGGGTCTTCGTGGGTATCTAATGGGCATTTTCTTTTGACAGCATCAACACAGAAAAGAGGTCTTAGGAAACTGAGTGGCTGCTTGAGCATTTCTAGAGCTTACCTGTGAAGAGGGTATCTTTAACATAACAGACTGACAGTGTGCTGGGCACAGAGCTGTTTAGATGTGCTTTAATGAACAGATAAAGTGTTCAAACACAGAGATGAGGCACAACCTCTGAAAACTCGTTCTTGGGAAGAGACACTAACTGTAGCCAAACACATTACCTACACAGTATAAATGAATTATACTTGTAGATGACTCGATTAGCTGCAATTCATTCCATATTCAAACTGAGCACCTTGTTGGACATAAAGGATGAACTGGTATGAGATATGTTGTGGGTGGGGGATACACAAACTAATAAATTACAAAGTGAATGGAATGCTTGAAAAGTGCAATGAAGAAAACAGCAGGGAAGGAGAGAAAAAACAAACAAACAACTGTTGGACACTGGGAACAGCAGGAGCTAACTAAAGTGTACTTGGTTTGAGGAAAGAGTCTTTAAAACAATACTTACACTGGAGCCTAATGAATTAATTAGCAAGGGCAAGCAGAAGCAGTAGTTGAGCAGAAAGTGTTTTAGGCAAAAGTCAAGACAATAGAAACAAGCCTGGTAAGACTACACAGTTTTCAGAAGGTCAGAGTGATGAAAATACAGGAAAAAAGGAGTGGAGAGTTCCAGGGGTACACACCCATGACTGTAAACAGGGTCCAGATTACACAGTCCTCATAGGCCAAGAACTTGAATTGCATTTAGATTACAAATTAAAATTCTTCCCCAGTTTCTCAGTGTCATAGCAGTTTAAAAGTTAAAATTGCTGATTTTTTTAACCACCAATGATAATTTGTATTTATATTTAATAAAACCCAGAGGTACTTCCAAGTTAGCTAACAATACTCTATCAAAATCAAGTCTCCTTTGTGAAGTGTTTCATTAAATATGAAAAATACCATACTGAGCTATTATTCTTGAGAATTCAGAACTAGTGATATATATTCCTATGAATTCCATGTCATATGCTACTGACTAAGTAAATCCAAACTAAAAAAAAAAAAAGAAAGAAAGAAACTGTTCTACGTGAAAGAGTAATACAATAGTATAGGCAAAGACATGTTTTTTCCAAAATTAGAAAGGGGCACCCAAGTAAGAGCGCAAAGAGAAGACCTATGAAAAATGGTACCCTGGAATACAAAGATAAACAAGAAAAAAGAATTTGTGGACTCAGATTCATGGACTCTTGTAAAAGGGACTGTTTAATCTTTATATTCAACTTATGTGGGCATTAATGACCTACCTATAAGTATAACGACTTACACTGAGATCAAAGCTTTAAGGAAAAATTTTTGCATTTGGCTTTGTGTAACTTGGTGGTAGACCATTTGGAGAGTATTTGAAAAGCTCTGGGTTCAGTCCCTAACACTACAACCAAGAGAGAAAAATGGGGCTGTGTCCCAGCGACGTGCATTATTAACAGTCACCCTACAGACCAAGAAGACCGCTTTACGAGATGCTAAGGGCAGCATATCTCACAGAGTGGTTATGAGGGCTTCTCCAACATAATCTACAGTGAAAACTCCATACAGTATGTACATAACACTTTTAAGTGCTAAAATGTGTTTGCCTTTCTAAAAGGTTAACAATATATTAACCACATTTCAGCTTGCAGATGTTTATTATCAACTCTGAGGAATGCATTTTAGTCTTAAAACAAATTTTAATTTTTTACCTTAAAGTTATAGTGGCAAAACATTACATGTGGTTCTGTAATGGGGCTGGCAGATTTGACACAGTTCTAACAACTTGTCTGACCACCTTGTAGAATCTGACTGAAGGCCAGGCAACGTGGGTCAGTGGCAGGCGGGACCACACCCTGACTGGGACTGTTGGTTTGATGATCATATCCATGGCCCTCCACTTAGGCTTGAATCTCACATCAGGATCCTAAAAATTGGAGTTGTGGGCTCACTAGATCTCTCTTTTCCTCCTCCCATTGTGGCCACATTGAATAAATCTCCTTTTTCTCCTTCCCACTACTAATTTGACTCTTGTAATTTGATTATTAAGGATGGGTGGTTGTATCTGGCCTGGGGCACAGTTTGTGGGCCCATATTCTATAATTGTTCTAGTGCTAAAAACCTGTGAGCAATAAACAAATATTCTGTGTAATTAAAAGCTCTCTTTCCTAACTTTACAGTAAGCAAATAGTATGGTTACACTTTAAAGTATTGAAGAAATTCAGGGACATTTAAACTCTGAGAACCTTTAATTTTTAATTAAATTTGATGCAAAGAAAAACTACCTTAGAGCTAATTCCTATTGCCATTTTAATATTCTACTCAAGTAATGACTTTGTGAGAGGTTGTTATGTTATCTTTTTACTAATACCTACAATTCACTCTGACTTTATAGTCACCATGAAATATACACTTATCTGAAACCCTTTCTGGTCAATTTCAACACCTAATGAACTTTGTTCCTTTTAAGGTCGGTGGTAAAACCACAAGGAAATCTTTAACGTAACTTGGGTCTGAAGATCAGATTTGAAAACTGACTCAAGTACTGATAAGGGTGTTTTACACCAGGATAGAATTTCAATGATATCTCACTTGACCACAACACCCACTATGCTAACACACCCAAGAACACTTCTCTCTTTTTTAACTACAGCACACCTGATACAGAGCTCCTCCTGACAGTTTCTGTTATATACAAAAGCAGACCAGAATTACACATACATACACAGAGACAGAGACAGACAGACAGACAGACAGACAGATTTGTTTTGAGTGGACTTTCTATTCTCATAACAGTTTGAGATACTTTAAGCACTGCGTGATGAGAGCACAATGAGCGTTGGTTAACTCCCTGTCTTCAATAGAGAAGCTTCTAATTTCTGTGCAGTATCACTGCAGTTCACCCATTTTACTAACAAATACCACATGCACTTCAAATGTACCTCCTGGCCACAAACTAGAAGCAATCTGTTGAAATTTCTTGGTAATTTTTTCTGTCCTGAAGTTGAAAATGAGAACTTAGTCTTCTCTATTTTTGCCTTCAAACTAGGCAAAATAACTGGTCCTTTGATCATTGAGTCTGTGAAAATAATGATTCACTGTGAAGGTCTTAAACAAGTCAGTTAATTGTAAGGTAACAACAAAAAAAAGTAGGACCTATTTATGATATCTGGAGGACATCAGATGGCCTCCTTAGGAACAAGAGTCAAATATTTCTGTAAAAGCAACTCATCCTAACTAGCTCATATTAAAAGTCAAACTCACAGTGGTGAGCAATTCCATAACTTGCCACTTTTGTAAAGTGAACTACTTAATACAATCTTAACTTCTTTTTGAAGTAAAAATTAAATGGCTAACACCCTGGATGTTCCTGGCTTATGACAGATATGATTTAATGTTTAACTTTTACAACATGTGTTTTATTAGTATGATTTTTGTTCTAACATTCATTTCACACTGACTATTAGAATCTCTGCTAAGAAATTCAGATTAATTAAAATTTTGGAACAGGTTTGTCTGGTTTTGAATCCCCACTGTGCCTTTACTAGCTATGTGCTGTTGGGCAAGTTACTTAACATTCTCTCTACAGTCATTTGCTCATTATCTATTATGAGCTCCAATGTAAGAAAAGCATTTAGAATTCATATAAAACCCAAGTTCTTTGTATATAAAGAATGTAAAAAAACAAATAAAGTGGTATTTGAAAAAGCATTCAAAGTTAATGACTGCTCAAGGAAAAAAAAAAAGTCCAAGAATTAAAGCCCTGAATATGCCACATAAAAAAGCTGGGAAAGGAGACAGCTCAGATAGCCAAGGTATCCGCAGAATGTGTTTCGAGCCCACAGGTAAGGCACTATCCTCATTGCTGCCTAAACCAGACTCATATCTATGGTTCTCAGGGCACCAGATACCAGAGTGCCTGCACATATTTAACTCTGCTTTCAAAGAACTGTTATCAGCAGCCATGTACGCATTGACAGTGCCCCACACTCAGAGATATTCCCCCAGCCTCTGAGACAAGAAAGAAAGCAAACTGAAGGATCAACTTCTGCCTTGCCAAAGGATATTTTAATAGCAGCACCTGGTTATCCCCATTCCCATCCCAGAGAAGACGATAAATCTCCTCTGGCCTTGGGGGTCTCAACTCCTTACTCTTCTAGCAGCCAGTGGCCTTCCAATGACCCAAGAATGAAGACAACAAAAAGGTACTTACAAAGACTGCAAAGCACTCAGTCCGTGAATGGCTTCACTGGGTACAGTTTTCAACTGATTATTCTGGAGAGTTCTGGAAGAAAAATTTTGGTTAGTGATGAATAAGCGATTGTTACCTTTTTTGTCATAGAAGAATACTGAGCCATTTTCCCCCTAAAAATATTTCTAATGGTACCAAGTAGGGTAAGGTGGGATGGAAAGCATCTAAGGCAAAAAAAACTGAAAACTGTCAAGAAGCATTTGTGTAAATGCAGAGATGAAATTCATGCTGCTATTCCAGGTCATCTCTCAATGGAGCTGCTGGATGCTCCACATTTCCAGGGGCAGTTTCAATCCCAGGCACCCTAGTTAATGTTCAGTAGGATAACAAATTCACTGGAGTGGCTAATCAACACACCCCTTACAATTTTGAATGTCTTCTCAAACTGGAAGAAAGCAGAGCCTAGAAACGTGGGCATTAAAGAGAGAGAGGCAGTTTGCGATGAGGGCAACAATGTCTGCAATGCCTCCGGGAGGACAGACATTAGCCTTCAGTCACTGTCCAGCTGGAACCTGGCGAGCAGAGGCAGACATCTCTCTGAAAAAAAAAAACAAGAGCTTTTCCATTTTTACCTAAAGCCACTCCTGTCATATTCAATGACTATTTGACATGAATCATAACCACGGAATGGAAGGCGTAACAGGACAAATTAAACACACCGAACCAGAGAGGCCTGGTGACTTTGCCCAGAGCAGTAGTGACAAAAGTAGGTGAAGTTGTGGCTGTCAACCCACGTGATCTTCAATCTGTCACCCTTGAAGCCAGGGATTTCTCTTCTGATCTCTATCTTTATAAATCATGAGCACTTCAATGTTTTTCAGCTCTAAAATGTTTTTAACATGTAAAGTGCTTAAAAACACCCCCCCCCCTTCTTTGGCTAATTCAAAAATCCTTGTGGCTATAAAGTAGAAACAAAACTCTACCAATAAAATGTAAATATGGTTTCAATTCATTACATTAGCAGCATGGAAAGTCTGTGATTCCTTGGGAGCTCAGAACACTTACTGTTAGAATTTTAACCTTTGTTTTCTAGACCCAAGTTGGCCCAGACCAACCTCTAGCCTGCTCCCCTATCCATTGGCCATGCCTTAAATCTTTTAATCCTCAACTAAAAGAAACTGTGCTTAACCTAGCTCTAAGCATGTTGACTATGCAGAAAGAAAATACACAGCCAGCTGTGAAACTCTAAAAATGAATTACTTACAGGACTTTGAGTTCTTTCAAGCCAGACAAGGCTTTTGGGTGGATAAAAGAAAGGTCGTTGCCAGCCAGTTGTCTAGAAAAAAAAAGTAACAAGAGGAAAAAAAAAAAAAAAAAGTGATTCAGAGTTAAAATTCAGAGTTTATACTTACCTTATCTGAGATTAAAACTCTATGCTAACATTTCTCAAGATGACATGACATTAAACAGTGACTTAAACCTCTGCTACAGCAGTCCCAAGATTATTGCAATGAATTAGCAATGTCTAGATTTTTTTTTAACTTCCAATACAATAATTTAAGTAGGCACATTTTTATTCTGGTGAGGTCAAGCAAGCCAAAACACATTAAGCCAAATTAAGTTTGCTATTCACAGTCACTCTGCAGCTTGCAGTGTTTTCCAAGGACCTCATAAATACAGACTACTAGTCAGCAGGCAGCAGTGTTTACACAGAGTGGAGCAAACCAGTCTGTCAAGGAAGAATGCTTTCAGGAGGCAAGTCAGCTTGTTATCTCCACAGAAACCCAGAACAGCATACCCCAGACAAAAAGGACAAGTCTGAGAGCCTAGATTTCAAATAAAGGCCTAAGAATACTCACTTAATGTTTTCATGAAGAAATTGTTAAATAGAACATTTCAGTGGGGGTAAAGTGAAGTAAGAAAAGGATGTGAATTCTTTGCATTATTGCCTCACTTTTCCTCCTACTTATTTCCTCAGGCCTACAGCACAGAAGTATCAAAAGCAAACCAGGAAATAAGACAGGAAATCATATAAAATCACCTGCAAACAGGTGACCTGGGAAACTATTGGTAAATATGTACAATTAATCAGCAGTGAAGTGTCCCTGTCATGGAGCTCAGGACTCTGTACTTCTTAGCTGTACCAGGATTAGTTTTTTTAAACAGCTGGATACTATAATTTAAAAAAGTCTTTTCATGTCTTCCTTTAAATACTCCTATTTACAACTTAGTTTCAATTAATTTTTTAACTTATAAAACAAAATGTGTAGTTTCTCCCTTAAAAAGTTCTATTTCCAGTCAGATAATACATGCCTGTACTCAGGAGTCTGAGACAATACAATCTCAAGTTCAAAGTCAGCCTATCTCAAAAATAAGAAAACAAGAGTGGGAGAGGTGACTCAGCTATTAAGAGCACTAGCTGCTCTTCCAGAGGCCCAAGCTCAATTCCCAACACCCATATGACAGCTTACAACTGTCTGTAACCCTAGTTCTAGGGAATCTGATGCCCACTTCTGACCTCTGAAGGCACCAGGAAGACATGTAATACACAGGCATACATACAAACAAAACACTTATACACACCAAAAAATAAAAATAAAAAAAAATAAATATCTAAAAGAAAAAAAATAATTTCCTTTGTTCTCTCGGATCACTCGGTAAGCACCCTGCTTCCCTGGGCTTTATTCAGTATATTCATTCACTATCAAGTTCTAGTTGCTACTGAGTGCTAGACACATCCCTTCTCCCTTCTTTAATCTGCTACACTCACCTTGATTTCAGAGACACAGGGATAACATCTGTACTAACTGTAAAATTCAAAGTAACAAAGGTCTGAAGTTCTATCAGAGCCTTGTTTTCTTCTAAGGTTTTTATACCACTTAAAATGCAAACAGCATGAGAAAATCTGATTCTACCTCATCTCTGGTCCACATCAGACATATGTTCTACAGATGGGTGAAGAAAAACAACTCAGAAATCCCAAAGGTACATATGATAAATAATTTCTTCCACAGCAAAGGGTAATGATGCTGGATTCTCAGTCAAGCCACAAGTTTAACATGGGGTGTAGGCTCATGCCCTCTACTCTGGTAACTATACTACATGCCTTCTGAGGCATCTCATAATTTGGGTCTTAAAACAGTGCACTCCATACCACCAGCCTTTTAAATGGCATCTAAAATGGCAGCAGGGCCCAAAGAATCTAAGCAGAGAAAGCCGACAGCTTGCCTCATTAAGTGACTTACACCTTGCTTACTCTGCAAACGTTAGCAACACTTGAGTAAGGTTTTCTAAACACCTAACTTCGAGAAAAATAAGCACTTAAGCTCAATGAACCAAAAGTAGACAACAGTAACCATATATGTGTTTGTGATAAAAACTATTTTTTTTTCTTTGCTTCTATGCTCGTCCAACAAAGTCTCCTCTTTTGCATTTTGTCAGTAGAGCTTCTGAACCATTTCTGGTGGGCAACTTGCCCAATTCCTGAATTGCTGTTTTCTCAAAAAAAAAAAAAATACAAAAACAATGGTTTATGAAGTTTAAAAGATGGCTTCCAAGTTAAGAGCTTGCACTGGTCTTGCAGAGCACCTGAGCTGAAGTTCTAGCACTTATTAGGCAGCACATAACTGTCTATGACTTAGCTGAGAGAGGAGAGGGAGAGGGGAGGGGAAAAAGGAGAGGGAGAGAGAAGGGTGAGGGAGAGAGGGGGAGGGGAAGAGAAAGAGGAAGAGGGAGAGGGAGAGATCTTACACTTCTGGCCTCCACAGGTACCTGCTACTCATGTGCATATGCCCCATATTCAAACATATTATGTGTTCATGATAAAACCCAGAAGTGTATTTCAGATTCCTATACACATAGCTAAAAATAAATCTCTAAAACTTTACTGTGTAAGACTGAAACAGCAATCACAGAGCCTGCAGGGGTCTGTGCTAGGTCCTCTACATACACACTGTGATAGTTTAGCTTAGGGATTTAATGGGACACCTAACAATGGGAATGAGGAGGGTGTCTCTGACTCTTTTGCCTGCTCTTGGGACCCTTTTCCTTCTCCTGGGTTGCCTTGTCCAGCCTTGGTACGAGGGTTTGTATCAAGCCTTATCGCATCTTGTTATGCCATTTTCAGTTGATATCATTAGAATGCCTGCTTTTTTTCTGAAGGGAAACGGAGGAGCAGTGGATCCAGGGGAGAAGGGACATGGTGGTGGTGGGAACCGAGAGGAATGAAGGAAGAGGAGGCTGAGTTCAGGACAGAATGTATTATATAAGAGAAGAACAAATAAATAGAAAAATATTACTTTACATTAGTTGCCTTTTTTTTTTAACATCATTGCTTCTTGCCGCTAAGAATTAATATACAAAACAAAACAAAACAAACAAACAAACAAAACTGAAGAAGACAGTTATAAACCCCATTCAATGCAACCATTTCAATATATTTCTCCTCTTGGTCCCAAACTAGTCAGCTTCAATGCTCCACTATCTAAACATTTCATCTTGTAATCCAGCTGTCACTCTTGTTTGTTTGATTTCGAGACAGGGTTTCACTGTGTAGCCTTGGCTGTCCTGGACTGGCTTTGTAGGCAGGGTGGCCTTGAACTCACAGAGATCCACTTGCCTCTGCCTCCCCACGTGCTGGGATTACAGGCCTGCACTACTGCTCCTAGCTTCACTACCACTCTTTAAATACCCAATGGTTGTGCTTCTTTTATTAAATGTGGTGACAGGCCACCGTCTGGCTGATTATTTCAAGCACAAATGCTTCAGAATAGAGTACACACCCCACACTTTCATTACCACTCCTCAGTATGCCACATCATCAGACAGAAACATCTCAGCTAGGAGTTCACTAGATGTAAGTGTTCTCTGATGTTCCTCCCTGCATTAGGGATGTATTTGAGAGCTTGCCTAACAAGGGCAAGGCGTTGGGTTCCATCTCCACCATAGCCAACAGAACAAATAAAAGGCAGAGTTCTTCACAGTCTCTGGGCCAATGCACAGCTTCTTATGGTCCACATTTGTGCAAGCTCCACATAAGCAATGAAAAAGGTTTGCACACTTGAGTTCCCTCATTAAAGTCAACTAAGGATGCTCACAATCGTAACACACAGTATTTAAAATGCCACATTTTCAAAAGCTCAAGTTGCACCATAAGGGCCTTAAGTGGCAGTAGCCATCTTTCCCCAAATGCCTCAAATAGTCCTGTAACCCTGCTCCTCCCAGCTGTCCTTAAAAACCTGTGCTAAAAGCATCTGCAAAAAAAAAAAGAAAAGAAAAGAAAAGGAAAGAAAAGAAAAGGAAAGAAAAGAAATCCTATAAACACAGCTTTCCAGGGTCTTTCACACCTTGTCTCTAACATCAGCTTTTACAGTCCTAAGATCTGTTGGCCTTTCTTGAGGAATTTAACATTCTATGCTATGACCATGAGAAAGAGTGCTTTTTAAGTAGCCAAGGAAGTGGCAAGACACAGAACACCTGATTATTTTGTCAACGAAAAACCACACTCGTCAAAATATTTGCTTCCTCTTCACCAAATCTCTGCCCCTTTATAAACTATGTGACTACTGAAGTAACCTGGTTTCAAAAAGCATTCTGTTTCTCCTCGACTTATCGCTAACAGAAACAACACAATGCCCTGCGCATGAGGCTTACCCTGAAACACAAGCCAACCATCTGGAGAACTGAAACAGACACCAGGAGTGCGGTGGATGGGTGACAATCACAGGAGGGTACAGTTCTCCGATGGCTCCGTTCCTCGGGAGTAAACGTATCATGTGGAGCCTTCAGAACACCTCTCCTGAAGTCTCCCAAGCTGCTGTGTTAGGAAACGGTGCACGCTGCAGCTTCAGCATTCACACACCCCACCCCCGAACCTTCTCACGGACTGTTCAGTTTGCCTGCACGGTCTTACGAGCTAGCACTTCTTGTAGCAAGCAGCACACCTTGGGGAACCTTCATCCAATGAAAGATTCAGATCTGATAAAAAGCAAAGCCAAGTCACCAGATCATAGGAGGCAAACACCTGAGTTCTTACCAGGTGCAGTGGTCAAAACAGATGGTATGCAAATATTCTTTTATTTTAACTACACCGTGACAACAACCCTGCTTTTTCTAAACACCCAAGAAATTAGGTGACTTGGGAAAAAAAAAAAAATCGCACAGCTACAAAGTGGAAGAGCCAGCATTCTAGTTCTTGCCTAGCTGCCCCAATGTTTATCAACTTGTTCCTGACCTGGAGTGTTTCTGTGTTGTCACCAAAAGATTAGGAAATCATTCTCAGTGGAGAGGTGGAGCACTGTGGACTTGGGCATGCGAACAGCTTTGTTTGAGTATCAA